CACTCGGTATTTATGTTGTATGATAACCTGTTTACAGAAAATTACTTAGGTTATATACGTTGTTAAATATACTTATTTGTCATTTTACCTTTTAGCGATAGAGCTAGGATTGCAGAAATAAACATTAGATAACCACCAAACCAGAATTGATTAATACTACAGTACTTGTGAAGTTAATAGGAAGTAGTTGAAGACAGTGCATCATGCTTTGCAGTTTTTATATACTTTCATACAAGTACTCTCTTAGTCCTTTGATGATTCTGTGGATAAGGCAAACAGTTGACAGGTAAAAAAAAAACTCCTCTAAGCTTCCATTTTCTCTTCGGTGAAATTGACATCTGTCACTGGAGTAGGGTCACAGGACTAATGTTTAAGACAGCTGTACTCCCTTTCTGTGATTGCTAATCCTATGCTCTTCTGTAGATCATAACCCAACTCTTCTTATGGTCAAAGCTGTCATCCCCAGTCACCAGAGAAAACACCATTGTGGAGAATAATTTTCCAAATAAACCTTTTTTTTTTTGAGATGGAGTTTCACTCTTGTCATCCAGGCTGGAGTACGGTGGCATGATCTTGGCTCACTTCAACCTCCGCCTCTGGGGTTCAAGCGATTCTCCTGCCTCAGCCTCCCAAGTAGCTGGGATTACAGGCGCCTGCCACCACGCTTGGCTAATTTTTAGTATTTTTAGTAGAGACGGGGTTTCACCATTTTGGACAAGCTAGTCCTAAATTCCTGACCTCAGGTGATCCTCCCACCTCAGCCTCCCAGAGTGCTGGGATTACAGGCGTGAGCCACTGCACCCGGCCCCAAATAAACCTTTTTATTTAATTTGCTTTTTAAAATTGTAAATCATTGTGCAGTAATGTGTTTCTGTATCTCTTTAACGCAGATGGCATTCTTGTGGGCTGCCTAATTTCTTTCCTTGCGTTTACTGTGGACAGTGAGGATCTCGTCATTCCCAAACCCAGGGCACTCACTGACTGTGACTGCATCATGGCACCCTGTTCCCTCAGGGGGATTGAGGTTCAGGTACCCGTTGGGTTACCTTTACAGTCTGTTAGCTACACAGACAGAGTAGAGGCTCCTGTGTCCTCAGCAGCTGCTACGTTGAGTGAAGCTTTTCACTCCTTCCCTGCTGACTCCCCGCGTCTCTGAACAATTCTGTCACAATCACAAGTTCTTTTCTCAAGTATCTGGTGTGCTTTTCTTTTGCCACTTCTGATTTTTGTTTTATATTGGTACATTGTTATTTATTAAGCAATTCCATTACTATTGAACATTTTGATGAATTCCACTTTTGTATTCATATAGATCATCTTTCAATAGAGCAATTCAGCAGTAAAGAAAAATGGAAAAATGCCAGAAATTATCATATCAGAAGGGACAGATCACCCACATGAAAGTTTAGCCCAGTTTGCCATTCACATTACTCCCTCAATTCTGTGTCAATTCTGTTCTTTGCTGCCTGCCTCCTAAAGAGACTAATTTGGCCACTCCATTTTATGTCTGTAATTCTTTCTTTTCTTAGTCACTTCCCTTTCCATTTCGTTTTTAGCTTTTCACTGTCTGATTCTGTTTTTGTTCTCTGTGATTTCTCTTCTTCTCCTCTGACCCATATATTGTTTTAGCAAACATTTGTTGCGTACCTGTTATGTGCTGGGTCCCAGTGATGCAAAGGTGAATGAGAAAACCAGATAAGAAAATGAATGTAGTATGCTGCAGAAGATCATAGGCAGGCGCAGGTACTGTGGAAGCCAAGTAGGGGAAAGGACAGACTCTGCCTGAGAAACTTAGGGAAGTCTTCACAGAGGAGGTACCGTCTGGGCATGTTCACTCCTGGAAAATTGGTAGGGAATTCTCAGACCAACGAGCAGTGTGAACCCATTGACATGTTTGGGAGAAATGAAAAGTGGTATAAAAAGAAAATTGTGACCTAGAAATTCAGGGGAGGCAGGTATGAAGCATGACTGAAGAGATGGCCTGTGGCCAGTGATAGAGGATCTGCGATGGCCCACACTGAGGAGGTAGGACTTTATTCTGGAGGTAATGAAGAATCACTGAAGGGTTTCAGTAGAACGATATCTGATCTGTGTGAGCTGCTGTCTGGCTGCCAGGTGGAGTTAGCATTGAAGGGAGGAAAGATGGGAAGAATGGTACTCAATCAAGAAGCTTTTGCAATAACCTGGAGAGAGATGGGGAGGACTAAACTAGGGTGGAGTATAGGAAAAAGGGGAAAAAGTTAATGTTTTAAAGGAAGAATTGGTAGGCCTTGGTAAGAAGAGAGAGGGGATTGTCAAGATTGGCCCTGGGCTTCTAGTGCAGCAACTATGTCACAGGTAAAGCCAGGAACTAAAGTCAGGACTCCAGGAAAGGTGCAGAGTCAGTGGGCAAGATACTGGTTTCGTTTTGCAGGTGATTTCGGTATCTATGGGATATCCAGGTAGAGGAGGCTGTTGGAAATATGATAAGAGCTGTAGATGTGATGACTTTAGAATTTTGATGATGGTTTTAATTCTAGTTCGAAATCTATAGGAAACAAAACATGTATAGGAAACAAAGTAGGTATAGGGAATAAATACCAGAAAGAATGATGAGGACATATTGGAGAATGCTAGCCTTAAAGGATGGCTGACATTTTACTGCAGTGAATAGAGCACTGAACCAGCAGACACTTAAGGATCAGGTAGAGGAAGAAGGGCTACCAAAGAGACTTAGATGAAAAAAATTAGCCATTCAAGAGAGAAGAGCACCAATGAATCAGATTTAGGTGGCACGGAGGGACGGGGAAGCTGCAGGGTTGGCTGCTGTCCGTAGAGTGTGGTGAAGTGGCCTCTGGAGTTCAAAGTTCAGAGTTCACTAAGTTCAGTGAAAAATTATGTATGTGCAATCTCCTCTGCTTTCTGAAAGTCCTGTTGCTTCTCGATTTTTACATGAAAGAACTGGTATTTGTAGATACTAATCAAAACATACTCTTTTTCCTGATTGGAAAACTGAACTGAGTATGATTTGTTTATCTTTCATTAGTCTTGGCTGTTTTTGTTTGCAACTCAAAAGGCTTTCTTTTTCTCACCTTGAAAGAGCAGATCTTGTTCTGGTTCTAGCCAGCGTAGAACATATTAGAAAGTTCCTAACCAGAAGTTCTACTCTACGTGGATTTGGTTAGACTAAGTCCTTTAAATCCAAACATCCGTTAATATATACAGTTCACATATTGCGTACACTTAACCCACATGACTTCAACTGTAAATGTACTCTTCATGGTAACACAGACTCCCCAAAAAGATTATGAATCTGGTATTTAAAGAAGTGTGTGTATGTGTGTACGTACACATATATATGGAATAAACCCTAACATAAGCAAGCCACTTGACATAATACTCAAAGAACTAGTGATCTGTTTTAATGCTGGATGAGGTAAGCTGTTGTAGACCTGTTGTTTAGAACCATGGTCAAGTTGGCTTCTAAGTCTTTCCAAGGGCTTTTAAGGATGGAGATATATATATATATATATATATTTTTTTTTTTTTGAGACACAGTCCCGCTGTGTCACCTAGGCTGGAGTACAGTGGTGTGATCTCAGCTTACTGCAACCTTCGCCTCCTGGGTTCAAGCAATTCTCCTGCCTCAGCCTCCCAAGTAGCTGGGACTACAGGCGCCCCGCCAGCACATCCAGCTAATTTTTTTTGTACTTTTAGCCATTCAAGAGAGAAGAGCACCAATGAATCAGATTTAGGTGGCACGGAGGGACGGGGAAGCTGCAGGGTTGGCTGGTTAGAGACAGGTTTCACTGTGTTGGCCGGGCTGGTCTTGAACTCCTGACCTTGTGATCCTCCCGCCTCGGCCTCCCAAAGTGTTGGGATTACAAGCATGAGCCACCACGCCCAGCCAAGGATTTTTTTTTAATATAAACTCTTTCCGCCTCACAGGTAGGCTTTAGATCATAGTACTCCTAGAAGGTGCAACTCCTTAAGTAGATCTGCATAAATGAAATCAACCTTCCTCCCCTGTCATTTTTTGGAGGTAACATTAAGACCACATTTGGTAAAAAGGACAAGGCCAGCTCAGAGCGAAGAGAACAGTGGACAGTTGGAAACCTTTTGGTAACCTGCGTTCTGGAAGAGAGTTTACCTCCTGCAGAGTAAACGTAGGAAGGTGTAGATGAAGTAAGGGGTGCTGAGGGTCATTGAGGGGATGGGCTGTCAGGGAAGTGTAATGCACTGAGAAGAGGTGGGGTCGAGTATCCAGAGCCTTCACTTCTCACCTCAAGCTTCCAATTGCAGTGAGTGGAAAGTATATAAATAATTTCCTTTGACCTTGTTTTCCTCATCTGAGATGAGATGACTATGGAGTAGTTTGCTTTAGAGGAACAGAGGAAAAACATGGGTGAATGGAAAGATCCAAGGAAGGGGAAGTTTTTCTGATCTAGTTGAGGTTGCACTTTGCGTAACTATTGTGAGTGTCATGTTGGTAAGTTCATGTAGGAAAATGGCATTATTTAGACATTTGTGCAGGATTTCTGAGGCTGAACTAAGAAAGGAGCTGGGGCACTGGTATCCATGTAGTTCACCCAGGGTGGTTCTTGGACTAAAGTGGTGCCTGTTGTGTGACTTGGCTCCCTTTCAACTCAATATATTGCTCTGTTTTATATATTCTTGACAGCTACTGATTTTCCCTCCATCTCTGTCAGTCCAGGTACTGTATCACCTGTAAGAACCAAGACTGAGCTCTTGAAAAATACTTTCTTGACTATTCTAGCCCTTAGTAATTATTCCCTTAGATATTCCTGTGGCATTGTCGGTTTATACCACACAGAAGAATACTTTTCTCGAAAATACTTGCTGATCGTTGTGTGTAGTTGTTCAGTTCTAGACATAGAATTATAGATAACATTTATTTTGGTCTCTTTGTTTTATATGTGTATTACCTATGGCCCCAGCTAGCTTGGAAGTTCCTTGATAAATACTGTTCTTTTTGTTTTCTGTCATTTTCTTTTCTGTAGAGCTTTCATTGTTGAGGTTCCTCAGTGCTGAACTAACAAGAGGGTACTTCCTTGAACATAATGAGGCCAAGTATACAGAAAGAAGAGAAAGAGTATACACTTGTTTGCGAATACCAAGAGAATTGGAAAAGGTACTATTTTTTCTTCATTACCAGACATCATGTTGAAAGTTATGTCAAAGTATTAATTATGAAAAAAAAAATGGTGAACAGCTAGAGTTGGGTTTTTTAAATAATTGAAATAATGTTATTGGGGGAGTAGAAATTTCCTTATAGGAAGAAGCTTTAAAGTTACATTTTTCAGTGTAAGACCCAATGATATTAATAGATCTATCAAAATCTGAACTTTTCTGCCTATCATTATCATTGTGTGCTACATCAAAATAACTTTTGTAAGGAATTAATCTCTACTTCTGTACCCTTTTAGTTCCCTTCAGTTCTGTTTTACTAGAAACAGGTTTTTTTTTCCCCCATTCAGCTTAATAAATTATTTAATTTCAGCCTTTTTAAAGGTTTCAGTTTCTCAGAAAGCCCACATGTTTGTAAACATACAGGACAGTCTCTTCAAAGAAAAAGATGGTTTGTTTTATCTTTGTCACAGGAAGCATCACATTACAGGGTGAGTGTAGTAACAGCAGCACTACATCTTCATGTGTCTTATTCCTTGTCTGTGCCTTATCCTATCAAGACCAGTAAAATAGGATGGGAAAGCAGCCCCTTCTCCCCTAGGTGATGCTAGAGTTGGTGAGTCTAAGCAATTCCAAAATTGCTTGCTAAAAGAAAAGAAGAAATAATTAAGCTTCAGCTATATTGAAACATGTTGTCATACTTCTATGGTAACATAAATCTTGTAATAGTCCAGTCATCTTTTTGGAATCATACTTTCTGTTGGAGTGGCTATCAGAAGAGTTTGGTTGGCTGGATTTATTGGTACATTGTAATAACAAGAGGTACTACAGGCAAATGAGGAGTAAGGACCCAGCTGGTTTGGCTGATGTTCTCTTTCTGACAGTCTATCAGTTTAATAGAAGAAAAAGAGCCAAATGTAGAGTGACAGTTTCAGAAATGTTGCTTTATGTAGGTTCTTGGTGAAGCATCACTTGCTGAAGTTTTAGGGAGTTCTGTATTAGGGTGGGATTTAGAGAGCTGGTGAGCAAGCAAAGATTAGAGAACAAATATGGCAATGGTTTGATTGCCTTTAGCGAGGATCATTAAATATGCTTAACTATTACTGTATTCCTACATTTCTAGAGGACTAGGGTTCCGTGGAGGAGCCTGAGGGACTGACAGATAAGGAGGGAGGAGGAGTGGGCAGGGCTGTCTGCAGTACTCCTCTCCAGTGCAGCAACAGCTCTGTCTTATATATTGGGATTTAACGAAGATTTTGTTTGGAGAAAGGAGTGGGGTAGGCGTATGTTTCTTTTACTTGGAAAAAAATACAAGATTAAACCAGTTCTTGTGTCTTAAAAGACCGTTAGCTTGCTTTTCGGATTTTTTCCAGCAATAAGCCATGAGATGGAAGTGTGAGGACACAGTGCAGGGGAAGTGGGAGGGACAACCTGCCAAGGCCTGTATTTGAACAGGACGGTGCCAGCCACTGTCAGCTTTTGCCCACCTGGCCTCAGCCCTCTACGGGGGAATTTGTTTCCTGTCTGTCTGAGTAATTATGAACTCCCATTTTTCTCTGGGGAGGACACAGAGGGATTTAAATCTGCAACTCCCACCAAACTTGATGAACACAACCAGGGGACTGCTTCAAAGTGGGTTGGTGTCTGTCTGACCCCTTTTATTACCCCTCTTGTGGCAAAACTAATGAACAGTGGCAGCATCCACTCCTGATTCTGTTACCTCAGCAGAGACAGGCTTGTTTCACGCTTCCTTCTTTCTTTCTCTTAAGGCAACTCAAATAACAAGCAATGTTTTGGGGTAGATTTCTCACAGAAACTTATAAGCATTTCATGTTTGTAATTAGGAGTATAAATTGTCTTCTGGAGAAAATAGCCTTATACTTATGTCTTGATGAGACTAAAGTATAAACCAGTGATTTTAAATTGTGGTCCACTGTAGAACTACTAATGAATCAAGTAATCAGTATAAGTTGCCATCAGAATTTTTTTTTTTTAAGAGAATAGAAGAATTATCAGAGAACATTACCTATGCTAAGAGTATTGTTTCATGAAACTTTGGTTCCATTTGTATGAATGTAAATGTATAATGTCAGAAAAGTTGCATTAACACTGCTAATACACAATTGTAATAATTTTCTTTTTTTTTTTTTTTGAGACGGAGTCTCGCTAATTTTCTAATGATTTTTGTTTTCCCTGAAAGAGGCTTTAGGCCTGTTTGGGAAAATTTGATGTAGTCTCTTAGAACAATACTTAAGAAGCTTTGTAGCCTAAATGTACAAAAAAAGTCATGGTTTTCTGTTTGGAGCATTTTTTCTTAACTTCTAAAACCAAGCGGGATGTAAAGGAAAGCAAATTTAGGTTTCAGTTTAATTCCAGGCTTAAATATCTCTCATAACCACATGAAGTCACTCTGATATCTTTAAGGCCTTTATTTTTTATAAATAGGATTTCACGTAAAGTTTTTAGTATGAGTTGAGAGCCTATCTAGATATGCAAGATAACCTAAATTATTTTTTATTGGCTGTTTTTGTTTACATTGTCTATTCTAATATATAATACCTTACTCATATTTTTTCTTGTTTTCGATAAATGCTATGATATTTTCACCTAACCTTTTCAGGAAGAGAAACTTGAAAATTAAAGAGCACTTTGCTTCTACAAAGGTTGTAAACACCATAAAACATGTAATTAATTTTTATATTTTAAGATAAAGAGAAAAGTCAACTTAATATCTCTTATCAAACCTGTTTACTAATGTGAAAAAAAAATCCTCCAATTTTTGTATTACATTGTCATTGGATAAATACTTTATACTTGACATTTAGTAAAAATGAATTGCTTATATATTTTAAATAGTATCTCCAATTGTTAGCACATGATTTTCACTCTTAAACTTCTTATTTTAATGTAGGAGTACATAATTTTGGAGTGTTTTATTGGCTTTGGGAGACATTTCTTCTCTTCCACCATAAATGCCCTCCCCTGACCCCACAACCCCTTGGGTTCTATATACCAGATCTTCTGCTATTTATGTAGTCTACTTTGGGAACTTTATTATTCTTTTTTATACAACCAAGCAGATTAAACTATACTTTCTGTGCATTCTAAATTGAGAGGCAAGATAGCAAAGTGTTTAAGGGGATCATCTCTAAAGCTGGACTGCCTAACTCTGAATCTTGGCTTCACAATTGATTAGCTGTGAGTCCTTGAGCAATTCACTTAATCATTCTGTGCCTAAGTTGCCTCATCTATATATTAATTATATGGTAAGCATGTAAAATTTTTCACAACCTTCACATCAGCCATTCAGGGGGAATGCACTACTCTGCTAGAGTGAGAGGAATTTAAAGGTTTCTTGTTCCCGATTACATTCTGGTGGATGTAATATTTTTCTTTGCAGTAGGGATAGCTTTCATCTTTGGGATGTGCTCAGCAGGAGGTGATTGGGAGAGGTGTGGTTTTTAGGATTTCCCTGGGTCCCAGTTTTATCTCACATTATACTTTTAATCTCCCTGCTTTGCTTGCCACTAAACTTGACTTTACTAACCCTGCAAGGGGCGTGATTTTCTGACTCTTGGCCCTCTTGTGTTGCTGACCATAGGCAGAAAAAATATCTAGGGAAAGCTGTCTTCTTTCCTCTTTCCTTTTACCCAGGCTGTCTGGGAGTAAAGCTGATCTCTTTCATGAAGGACATAACCAATGGCCATGAGAGATGATAACACACTACCATTTTCTTCCAAGCCCTGTAGAGTCTGGCCTCGGTGGGCACATGCATGAAACCTACAATTATAACAGAAACAGGGTGCTTTAACCAGAGGCTTGGTGAAATCGGGGGCAGGGAGCATCAGTTTCCTAAAGAGGAAATTCATGGTGAGTGATTTCTCACTGTCCCACACCCCACCTTGACTTAGACACTTACATCCCACCACTTGTATCTGTTTCTGTATGAATAATAAATAATGTTTGTTATGTAAGAATTAGGTGCTAGGTACTGTCCTAGGCACTTTACATGTGTTTGTGTTCAGTCCCTTCAACAGCCTTACAAGATGCATATATACTATTAAAGCTCCAATTCCTTTGCCCACCCCACTGTGGCAGTTCTACATTGACTTCCAGACAGATCTCTCCTTCCACCATTGTTTGGTGGAGGTATGTGCTAATAGCATATGCTCTCCATTTAGGTCCCCTAGTCCCCTGGGAACAGTTTCCCAAGTGTCAGGTCAAAATTGTCTCTTGTCTAAGGACTAATTTTGTCATCTTTGTGAATCTAAAGCTACAGTAAATAGTAAAGAAATACCCATTATAGGATCTTCTAAAATTCCCAGATATGTTTAAATTCTAATTTAGAAAGGTAAAGATGACTTACACACTTAATTATTAATTTACTGCATCTATGTTTTGAGTACTTCCTATGTTCCAAGAAGGCACTCTTGTGATACAGAATACAGAGATAAACAAGACTCACACCTAGCTTAGGAGATATCAGATCCATAAGTTATTATAATACAGGATACAAAGTGACAAGTGCTTTTAAATAGTATAAATAAAATGTGAAGAATTTAGAGAAGGGTAAGTGTGCTTAAACAACAGGCCTGGGACGAGGATCTAGGAAGGAAAAAGAGGGAGATTTTGTTGTATAGGCTTTGTAGGATGGGATGGGTATGCTAGGAAGATCCAGAGGTGGAAAATTGTTAGGTGTGGACAGGAAACCACTGACACATGCTGGAAAGAAAGATAGACTGGCCAACCTAGGCAATGTGGCAAAACGCTGTCTCTACAAAAAATAGCCAGGAGTGGTAGCATGCACCTGTAGTCCTAGCTACTTGAGAGACTGAGGCAGAAGGATCGCTTGAGCCCCAGAGGCAGAGGTTGCTCTGAGCTAAGATCATGCAACTGTACTCCAGCCTGGGCAACAGAGCGAGACCCTGTCTCGAAAAAAGAGATAGACTAGATCCAGTTATGTTGAATGGTCAGGCTGGAGAGTCGAGTCTGTGGAAGGAGACT